CCCGCATCTACTTTACAGCATACCTCCAGTACTTTAGTATACTCCTGTCTTTTTTCCTGCCCTTTTACCAAACTCCTACTCCAGATAGCCTATGTAGAACTATAACCAGTCTATTGGTATATCGAGTCAACCTGATATTCTTTTCCTCTAGTTTGTTCCAGTAGCCTGGTTGGTGGTACTTCTGAGACTCCCAACTCAGAGGTTCTTGCCTGTCTAGCTACTAGGACCAGGTACTAGACCTAGGTATCTGTTTCACTGAGCTAGCCTTTACAATAAGGCCATCGAAAATCCAGCTACCTTTCTACTTAGGTCTTCTCAAATAGACTTCTTGTTACCTAATTTCAATGGATTTACACAGTCACAAAGACTTATCTAGTGTTTGCACCACCTGATATGTCAGTTTGCATTCTTCTATATAACTTTAACATTGCACAGATGCTCCATGACCTGCCAGTCATGCTGGTGCGATTACCATTACAGGTATCCTAACTCAACTGTTAGTAATAGTTGCCATAATATGAATATTACATAGGTGATTATCTAAATTTTGTCATTGATAAGATTTGAACACCCAACCTACCACTTGGAAGGTTGACAATCTGATCACTTCACTAGGTCACTACACTTCTCTTATTCACATATTTACTAACTTACAATCAGTAATCTCTAAATACTATAGTATTTGCCTGTTAGCATCTAAACTTTATTATATTCATACCTCATACTTCTCTATCTAATATACTCTTATCAACTTTATTAATTTATATAATATTTAACTTGCTTTTCACAAAGTTACTATATACCAAAATAACCTATTCAATAATCTTGTTAACTAACTTGCTTATAATTACTAAATATTACTCTTTTTAATATTCTTAACTAATAATTCTTATAACTTTGCTTATACTCTATTTATTAATTAGCTTTTTATTAAAACCCTATTCAACACTTTATTCATGCTATTTATTAAATTCATATTATACTATTTTGAACATTTTAACATTACTTTTAATAATGATCTAGTATAGTATCTAATATCAACTGAAAAGCTACTTGGCTCTATATTAATACCAACTAAAAAATTTTTAACTTTGCTTATAAATTTTGTTTCTTTATTTTCAAAGCCTTTTGTATTAAAATTCTTCTGAATAAACTATCTGTTTCATATACTTTTCACAAACATAAGCCTTTATATTCTTCTTCTTGTTATTAATGTAACCAAACTAGTTTTTTATTACACTAATTTATTTGTCTCTCTATTCAAACTATCTATCACCTAGTCTCTATTTCTTTTAATTGCATCCTAAATACAACTGCTCTTAATATATTTACTAATCTTGTCTCTGACTTGTATAAAGAAATTTAGAAATTTTTATATTTAACAGTTTTAAACTGTATAACTTTTCATATATACTATCTTTTATTTTTACTTTATCTGGTCTAGTTCTTACTGATCTTATTTTTACTATTTATAATACTTCTATTCCTTATTATACTGCTACTTCTCTTTTTATTAAACTTTTTTTTTATTTAATCTAACAAATATGAATCTTATACTATATTTCACATTTTACATAATCTTAAATTATACTTTTCACTAACTTAACTTATAGTTCTTCTTTTAATTTATTCTTACCTCCTATTTTAATACTACAAATTATTACCAAAATTGATCTTTGAATTATTTAATAAATTAAATATTATACTTCTCTTTTCTATATTATTACTAATACCTAAATCTAGGTAAGTCTTAACTAGTTTTGTAGGTTTAGATTACAAATTATATGTTTGAGTCTTTATTATTTATATGTAATTTAAAAGTAAGCTTTTCTTTATAAAAACTTCAATTGAATTTCAATAAAATTAAAGTCATGACCTTATTATTAATATATAAAAAAAAAATATCTTTATCATTTAAACCAACAAATATATAACCAAATTTGAATTCTTTACTATATTTTACATTTTATACAGTTTTAAACTATATTATTTACTAATTTATCTTATAGCTCTTCTTCTAGTTTAATATTGCTTCTTATTTAATCTTAGAAATTATTAATAAAATTAATCTTTAAACATCTAATAAATTAAATATTATATTATTTTCTCTTATATTATTACTTATACTTAAATATAAGTAAACCTTAACTATTTTTGTAAATTTAGATTACAAATTATATTTCTGAGTTTTTATTCTTCATATATAATTTAAAAGCAAGCTTTTTTTGTAAAAACATTACTTGAATTTCAATAAAATTAAAAACATAATCTTATCTTTAATATTTAAAAAAAAACTAAAAGAAAACTAAATAATTATATTAAATATAAATTTAAAATATTCACAAAGCTAACTAAAATTAAAACTAAAACAAAGTTTACATATCTAATTATTAATGACCAAATAACTAAAAAATTTATTATACAAATTATATTAATATATAATTTAACATTCTTTTAGATTCACAAATAATAATAGCTAATTTAATAGAAAATCTAAACTGTCAAAAGATTTTTAAAAAAATAAAAAAATATAATATTACAATTTTAATTAAAATATCAAAACAACTAGTCGATATATTTTAATTGTTAAAAGAAGTATACTTCTATTATAAATTAATAAACTTATAACTTAGCATCACAAATATAAACAATATAATCAAAATATCAAATATAACCAATAATTAAATTAAACCAAATCTTTTTAAAATATATAAAAAAATATCCAAAACTCTTAAAAAAACAAATTAAATTACAAAAATTACTATATTTATTGTATAACAAAACTAGGTTCAAATAGCTTTTAATAAACTTAGACAATATTTTACTACGTATTAACAATATACTTGACTGTTTATTTCAACTATCATTATTTACAAAACTAACATAAGAAGTCTTTACAAATATACCAGTTTATATACAATTTCAATTATAACAAAATTATTGTTAACACTATAAATAATAACAAATCAAGTAATGATAAGACTCAAGCTAATACAAAAAGAATTATATCAATTGACATTTACTTATTTGCTAATACTATATACAATGAACCATACATTATAATCTATAAAAAAATTATTAATTGTTCTAAACTAAATATAAAGATAATGCAACTTATCCAATATAACAAAAAATTTAACTATAGCATAATCATAGAGTAAGCAAGACTTTGACGCCTCTTAGCAAAATATGAGTTGTAAATAAAGTAACTTAAGTTTCTGGTTTTCAAAAATTTAACAGCATTGCCATTTTACTTGGTGTTTGTTTTTGAGTTATTTCTGGTTATTTCTAAATTTGTTTGGGTTACTTTTAAACTTATGAATTTCAATTTGTCTACCCCAGTAAGGTCTTCAAAACAACTTTAATATGCGTAATATTTTAAAATACTAAAACCTCATGTTAGGGTTGATATAGAGATTACTGTATGCCTGCTCTATACCAAAATTTTACAAGGAATTTTTTTTATTAGAGCGCAGAAAGTGGTTTCATAGTCAAAAATTTTAGTTATCGTCTGTTTTTTAAAAAAAGTGTGCACCTGATCTAGTGATCTTATTGGCAACGAAGATTGTAACGCGCACGTGATTCTATTTCAACACAAATTCTCTTGTAATACCGTATTTCGCGGTCTAAAGTACCCCCGTATGAATTTTTATCGGTTCATGTGGATATTTCCATGGTACATATCGGGTGCATAATGTACCATTCACAATTTTTTTTACTTTAAATTTGTAATGGTTACACGAAATAAAACCCGATATGCATCATGGAAATATCTGCATGAGCCGACAAAAATTCATACTGGGGGGGTACTTTAGACCGCGAAATACGGTAATTTTATCACAGTAGAAATCAAAGAATTGTGCAAGAAAACTGGAAATTCTAAGAGAAGTTTGTATCGTGAAAACCCATATATAGCTATTTCAGAGAATCGAAGAAAACTTTAGATTTAAAATGCATAACTAGCTTGTTTATTTAGTAAAACGTATTACTGATGAGACCAAATCATTAGCATAATTTTTTTTAGAGACTATCCCTATTCAAACAAAGCCACTCCCGAACCGGTGTGAAATCATTAAATGTTTTCATACATGACTTGGAATAATCGTGAAGAATATCTTGATTGGATTCAAAAATAGCCTGCATGTAAAGCATTAATATAAGAAAATATTTTCAAGTAGCTCGCACCTCAATTAATTGAAGCTTATAGGAAAAAATACCACCTTAACTGTATAAAGGAGTTCAATAATGCCAACAATGCAAGGAAAGGCCGAATACTCGAAAGGGTAATTAAGTGTTAATATCCTAAAGGTTTTCGGAGAACCCAAGTTCAATCTAAACAATTCGCCTTTGTCCTCTATATATTTTAAATAAAAATCTTAATCAGTAGCATATGATAACAGAACTGAAAATGAAAATTAAAGTTACTGTACAACACATATGATAATACATAATATTTCTTTGCAAATTCTATGTCTCTGTTTCCATTCCAGAAAGTTTTGCATATTGAATCTACAGAGTTTCGAAAACATTTTAAAAGATCACTGTTATACTTAGGATTTTTAGTCTTTAATGATGGGCCAACGTTCTCAAAAAGCAGGAACTCTTGACTGGTATTATCATAATTAAAAAGGATGCCATCTGCTTTACGTGCAGAGGCACTACTATCGTGGTAAACCATTTCACGATGCCATTTAGATGAAGGAAAATCAAGTAAACAATATGGGTTTATACATTTGTTCTTTCTATTTGATTTACCATCTGCTGATGAACAACTTCAGAAAACAAATTTTAGAATTTCAAAATCGGGAGACACTATTGTTGATGTGTATGTATTCTCATCCATGAGCAAATCAAGTTTTTTACCATGTCCGGCTTGAAATTGCATGAGCTTGATCTCTAATATTCGTTTTATAAATTCAACCTGTTTTGTATCAAAATCTTCAATAGTCGTTACTGATCGAATATTTGATATTGTGGTAGATATTTTACGCTAAATGTGGAATTACCATGTTAATAAATTAAATAAATAAATAAACGGTAAACAAATATATTTATTCTCTTTACATCGTAGTTTTCTTGTATCCACTTTTTAAGTCCATTAACCTTAACATGGGGTGGAGGTTGGGATTGTGCTGTTTCCTTTAATCTATCGAAAAATTCTTTATTTATTGGAGGGTTATTCGAACTTATATTGATAATATCCGCTTCTGCTAAACTGTTTAATGAAAGTGATCTATATGTGAAAGTGATTTATTTGATGGTTGTTGAAAGACATAACTGTAATACCTTTTTTCAAATTAATCTTCAGATAGTTCATCTTTTTCTTCGTAATTAGCTTTATGATTTTCTAGAAGATTTTTGATGTTTTCCCAAGATACCTCCTACAATTCACAGAACTTTAGAACAAATCAAAACAGATTTCCGTCTAAGTATTAAGCATCTGTACCATCGAGCCAAATCCTTCATCAACTGATAAAGCGTCCTCAGCATAATTTTTCTTTTATTACTTCTAAGATTATATCTGAATTCTTTTTTTTCATCGTCAGCATCCGATTCAATACCAGTTTCAACAGGTACAAACTCATCATTTTCTGTTTGTGGTGTATTAATAACTTTGCGATTTTTTTTTGAGATTCTCTTTTCGGAAGCATCTTAAATATTAAAACACAAAATAATCAGTTCTGCTGATTTATTTTCATCGTCTAACTAAAATATGATCATCGGTACTTCTTCTTGATATCTTTTTACTGATGTTACTAATCCAGCATTGAGTGAACCACCATTGACCGTTCCAATTCCAATTCCTAGAGAACTACCTTCAATTTTTAATTGGTGTATGTGAACTGAGGTACCAGCGAGCTCTTTATTTTTTCGTGATTTCCAATCTTTTGCCAGTCGGCGATCAGGTCGAGCACCCTGGTAGAAATTTAGAATTAGTAGTATCCTTGACTCTTTAAATATTTCTAACTGATCCGATTTAGATCCCACAAGGTCGACCCAAAGTCTTGAACGTCAGCCAATCCCAAAGATTTTCTGCGCCCAGTGGGGCTAATGTCGAGTCGACCCGAAGTCTTGAACGTCAGCCAATCCCAAAGATTTTCTGCGTCCCAACATTAGCTTCATACCTCGTCCCAAAGACTTGAATGACGCAAGACCCAAAGTCCTCCGCCACGGCACCAAAAATTCCCTATTTATGTTTAATAAAAAAATAGTTGCCTTTTTATACTTATCATGTAATTCTCTTGCTCGTTCACTCTTTATGCCCTCCTGGGTATCAGCGATGATTTCGAGGGATGTAAGGTAAGCTTCCACCCTTTTTAAAAAAATCCTTTATACCGCATTCTTCCAAGAAGTCTAAAATGTTCCAATCCGCACATTTACGAGTGAAAAATTTGTGGATCTTGGGCATGGCTTTTTACAACACCCCTTTACCAGTACGATCATATGTAATGTGCTATATTTTTTCTATTTTAGAAGGCATTATGATTATCTCTTTTTTTCCTATTTTATAAAAATATCAATGCATATGTAGTGATATGAATGATCGTGAGAAAATTACAAGTCAGTTCAGTGTGTTTGTCTGTTTAAACGTTTTTAATTGGCAATACCTGAAAACCGTGATCTGAGTGTGGGAAACGCCCGATTTGTCACGCAGATCACGGGGATAAACTTTTTGCTATGATCAACATGCACATTTTTCATAGTAAGGTTACCTACTGTGATACCGGAAATCGTGATACCGGAAATCGTGATACCGAATATCGTGACCGATCACGTGAAAAATGCACGAAATGCAATAAGTGCAATAAG